TAAGTCTAGGTTTTTTTTATCACTCAATAAAATTCAACCAAATACATTCTAATTTTTAAAAAAAAATTGAAAAAAAAAACTTAGTAAATTCAAAAAACTAGGCACCGTTGAAAAGAGAATTGGATGACCTTTGAAATGAGGTATCGCTTGACCCCTACTGCCATTTAAGATTTAAGGGTTGGAGATTACACCCGCGAGAGGGTTGAAGTGACAACATTGAAAATATGTGCAAAAAATTTCCCCCTCCAAATAAAAATCGACGGGTCCGAGCGATTTTTTTCAATGATCAATAAATACGAGATATCGACCTTGTTTCGTTTTCGCTGGCCCACCCTGTATATTGTGCAATACTCAGATATTGCAGGGTATTGTGAAAGTATTGTAGACTATTGCAAGCTATTGCCGAATGTTTCAAGGTATTGCAAACCATTGTGATTATTGTGAACTATTGAAAGTTATTGCAGTAGGTACAAAGGTATTCCCTATTTCTTCAAACCTTTATATTTTTCTTCCATATTATTTGAAATTTAAATCATCTTAAAGTAGTTTATTCATGTCACGTCGCTTTGTAATCCAATTTTTATTTGTTAATTGTGAAAAATGTTTAATCCATTCGTCACATTTGTTATCATAAGTCTCATGATACAAAAGCTTGCACTGCACAACAGATTCAAAACTATCATTTTCAGTTTTTGTTTATAGCAGTTTATATTCATCGCATAAAGTATTTAGTAACTTAACTACTTCTTCTTCCCTCATTTTGTTGTGTAGACACAACAAAACGGTTACATCCTCGGTTACCACTAAACACCTTCAAAAACAACAACTCATAGAACATAAACCAACCACGCAAATTAGCTAAGGGCAAGACCTTTTATTCCAAAGGAAAACAATCGTTTATCCAACGTTTAGATACTTTGTACTGAATTGGCATTTGCAAAGGTGTAGAAAAAAAAAAAAACAGAGCGTCACGTCTTGCAAACCCCCACCCAAAACCGAATGCATCTTGTCTGCACCGCGCTGAGGTTTGGAAGACGATGAACGGCATTATTGAATAACAAATCCAAGTTCATTTCAGAACAATGTTGCACTGAAATCAACGGGGGTTCGGAATTACGCGGCCGGGACCGCACTGACGCCAACATTGACCCCAGTGCGGTTCCGGCCTTAATTTATGTTGACATTAATTTTTAAGTGACGTAAAATATGTGAACCTGTCAATATTTTGACTGATAAACACCAGTAGCACCAGTATCTCGTATACTCTCCACACAAAAAGTCGCAAAAAAGTTAATCTTTCAACATTCATATCTCAGAGATCGTAATACCAACAAGATTTCGTCTCATTTAAAGGTTGTTCAGAATTGAATCCTCTACAACATATCAAAAAATGGGAAAAATCCATAGAGCCCAAGAATCCCATGTTAGGTGTGCGTTATCCTTTAGTAAAGTCCGAAATATTTGTGATTATTTTGAATTGATTAATTGCCTCATTCTTTGCCGAATCTGTAGAAGACAAAATTGTCATTATTATACGAGGGTCAACCTGCCAAATTTCCATGGATAATGCTACGCCAATAATAAGTGAAAAGCATATATGCACACTTGTTTTATTGGACCGATCACACCCAATATGATATAATTATGTGTTCTGTAGCCCTAGCTCACTTGTATCAATGTCTTTGTTAAGAAATGTCTCTGCTAACAAGATTATATCATAATTCTCGATAGATAGATTACATAGGAGTGTTTTTATTCTAGATATTATCCCCCTAACATTCTGATAATAAACACTGAGTTTTGGTTTGACACTCGCTGATTTTCCAACCAAAAATTTGATGATCTGCCGTCATTTTGAGCATGCGCATGTGAAAGTAATCTTCTCGGAATATTGAAATTAAACTCGTGAAAAACCGCACCCAACGGCCAAAAGCTGTTCTTGCTTACGTTCTTGCCTAAGAAAACCTATCTTCTACTCCAACCTTGAAGGATTTTATTTTACCTTCTGCTCCAACCTTGAAGGATTTTATTCCTCTATCCTCTTTTACAACTATTCCATCTTCTGCTACCTTACTGCATATGTATTGCTGTGCTGGATGTTTTGCTTGAACAATCTGCAGAGATTCTTCTTCGATACAGGCATTTTTTGTTAGAGAATGGTACACACTTAATTTGATTTGTATTATTTGTGTTTGTACCCAGTGAAGATAATTTGTTGCCCAAAACCCAAGAAAAACTTTGTTGGTCTAGCAAATTTTGGTGAGAAAAGTTGTTTGAATTTATTTTGTTGGTAAATAAGGAGTCTACAATTGCATTGTTTACATTTCCAGGTGATATTTGCCAAATTTAATTTTTACCAGAATTTGAGTTTCACATTTTCTTGTGACCGCTGATAAATCACCTGAAGACGGCTGTGGCTTTTTTGGAACTCAATTCTGTAAAGGTGGGTTACCATGAGGAGTTTGCATATGACTTCGAGTTTTTGTTTTGTCAGCACATAATTGAGTAGTTGAAGCCAGAAGGTTTTGTGAGTTTTCAGTGGACATAAATCTAATAAGTTCTTTATTGGAATCTAGAATAATTTTAACTACTCCACTGAGTTTGTTATACATGCGGTCTTCCAATTGACAAATTGAGTCATTTGTAATTTTTCTGATAACATCCTCAGACTTTGTGGATGCATTTATTTCATCTCTTGATTCTTGATCACGCACCAATGACCTGATTTTTTCCTCATTAACACGTATCATACTATCTTTGTGTTCGATTTTTTCCCTTTGAAGTGTAATCTCCTTCTGTAACGTTTCTACGGTCCCTTGTTGATTGGTAAAGCCTGCCAACTTCTCTTGAGTTCAATTCAGCTGTAATCGAACCAATTTCAAGATTAGGTCAGAATATTTTTTTCTCTCTCTTGCAGGTTTTGTCTGGTTTCCATCAACTTCGCTGTGGTTAAGTTGGAATTTTCTTCGGAATTTTCGTATTAATTCTTTATTTGTTCCGCATAAGCTTCACTACACAACTTGGAGCAGACAATCTTATGCAGTTCAATCATCATAAACCCAGACGTCCTCTCAGCTCTTATGATAGGCATTAAGGCAAACAATACAAAAGCAATGTCTGAAGCCCCTTGTTGGTGGTTTGTTCTTACAGCAATTAAAAACAACTTCCATTTTAATTACCCGCTGTGTAAATGAGCCTATAAGTGTATCAGACCCAAAAAGACTTCATAAAACCTAAAAACGTCTGGAATATCCTTTATGAATTTACTGATTCCTGTCACCTTTAAGTAAGCTTTGGAGTTATAGCTCCTCTGTATCTTCTGAAGAGTCTAGTTTCCATGTTATTGATTTGAAATTTCTTCCAATTCCACGAATTAGTTCGCGTTTAGCTCTAAATGTGGACGGGGCATTCTTAAGTCCGAATAGCATACAAACAAATTCGTTGTGCATTTTCCACGGAAAAGTTTGTTTTCTAAACGTCTTTTGAGGTCTATGTCTATTTGATGAAAACCCAAAGCATGTAGGGGGGTAAAATACTGACATTTTCCCAGTTGACTCCGAACATCGGAATTGGGCAAAGGATACCTTTTACTATGTCGCACCCAATAAAGTTTTCCAGAAGCATCTTGTTTCATAGGCGCCTCCAAGACGGGAAAAGATTGTGGAAATACGGAAGGAGGAATTATGGCCCAGCAGTTTCTTGGCGTCAGATTTTACTTCCTCTCTGTGGATTTGCGGTTTACTGTAAGATTCGGTGTATACCGGTTTGATATTATTGGTATCAGTAGTCATCATACTTCAACTTGTCGAGGGACGAGGATCACCTGACGTCAGGAGTAAAAATCCTGCGCAGACTTTGATGGCGGCTTATTCAACCTGGACAGATTACGAGCCAAGACGAAAGTATCGATGACATCAATAATTGAACTTCAATATGCGGATGATATCGTCGTGATGGCCAATATAGAAGAGGAAAACCTTCAGACAATAATCAATGAATTCAACCAGGAATAGACGAGAATCGGCCTAGAGGTCAGCTTCAACAAGATGCAAATCCCGCACCAACCCTCACCGGGCACTTATCCCTAAGCCCCAAATACATATAATTAATGACCATTTTTTGCAGAACATAGAACACTATCCATACCTTGGGAGGTATCTGTCAGCGAATGCAGCGTTCTGGCGGCTTCTAGAAAGATTTTTCAACAATCACATTAGCGCTGAGACCAAACTTCGCATCTACAATGCAGTTGTAATACCAATACTTACATGGCTGCGAAACATTGACTACTTACAGAAAACACATAAAAAGCCCAGAAAAATACTACAATTCAAATGGCAAGTCCGACGAACGAACATTAGTGTTTTAGAGGAGGCCAAAACAACAAGCTTGGAAGCCCTCATCATTAAGCACCAAATTCGCTAGACAGGTTACCTCGCCCGAAACACGTCTTCCTTAACAGATTTTCTATAGGCAACTGAAAGAGGGAAAACGAAATCAGCAGGTCAACAAAACGCTACAAAGATGCGTGATCAAGAATCAAGGAGAATATCGCAAAGTGACGCATCGATATCAGCAACTGGGAGAGGACGGCAAATGCTGAGCTCTCATGGCTTCGAGTAGTCCATGACGTACCACAAACTTTTGAAGAACAGCGACGCAGACACGAGACCAAAAAGGGATCGCAGGAAGTAGCGAGAGACTATAGGAAAAGACAATGCTGCCAGAGGCTGTGTGTACCAAGACTGTGGAACATTGACAAAACATTTAAAATACATTGTATCGAAGGTTGAATATCCCTTTTTGTGGGATGTTTGTATGGAGGAAAGTGCAAGAAGTAGGTGCCAATTATAAAGGCTAGAAATAAACTAGAAAATTATTTTTGGTTCGAAGACAAAAACAGCCTTTTGTAACATCGGAAGATATTATGATATTTGCTACTAGCAATGCTAACTGCCATTTAAATACCTACTAGGTACCTACTAGAAAACATATTTATTTTATTTAATTCTAGCCTAACCGACTAGCATTTTATTTTTGAAAATCTAGAAACCACAATACATGAATTTAGATTCTAATAATCGAATACATGTATTATTGTAATACAATCTCAAGCTAAAAAAATCAAAAAGTCCTAACCTATAGCTACTATATTGAAGCTTATTCTAAAAGTACAAAATATACCTATGCTCTGTTTGGCGCTATGGAGCAGAAAAGATCTAAAAAGCATTACATCATTGGAAGAACTCGATTAGACGAACGAATTTAGGCATTTTTTTCTTCTTCGTTTTTTTCAATATAAGGATAATAAATTTCATGCTTCTTTAGGCATAGATGTTGTTTATTCTTTTTAGCGTTTTGGAGGACTACCTTTATGACATGGAGTTTAATTTCGCGTTTTTTTCAAATCAATTCTCCTTTTTCTCAAGTGCTTGTTCCAGTATTTTCTTGCTTTGTTTTATTTCTGTGCGTATTTGTACTGTACTTAAAATAATTGATATTTGTTTTATGTTCGTTCTCGACGACGGCTATTAATCTCGTATTTCAGCTTCAAGAAACTATTGTTTAATTTGCTTCCTTACGTTATTGTGATGATATCTTTTGAGCACAATTTGTTAAAACAAAGGTGAAATAAACCTAAATTTGCTCGTCTTAAATCATCGAGTTGCAACGCCGTGTGCCTATATGAAAAAACGATTTTAGCCTGCTTTAAAAAATACAAAAATCTTCTCAATTTTATATTGTCTTTATAACTAAAATGGCAAACAAACTTCCTACTTCCTACTTAGCATTGAGAAGATAATATAAAATAGCTGAAAAGGTTATAAAATCCTAATTAAAAATAAAACATTTGCATTAGAACATAAAACACAAATCTTCACAGGGTGTATCACGATAAAATGCAATTAAAAAAAATGAAAGGGATTTAATAATCCGGGAAATTTTACATAGGTAGAAGCTATTAGTGGTGCATATTTTTTATCACTCCGTTCATTACTGTACTGATAATGATAGTAGAAATGCATTGCTGGGACCAAATAACTTCATTTACTTAACTCCAAATTTTTGAAAAAAGTATATTTTTGAATTGTGAAAAATCAGTTAGAAGGGTTTGAATTTTGTATGGATGGAGCTATTCTAATCGTTTATAATTTTTGCATGTTTTTCTCATGGTTTAGAAAAAATCCATTCCCAATAACAATACAATAATCAAAGTATTTGTGATACATCCTGGACATACATGGTATAGCTAAAATGGGGAAAAAAATGGCATCTTACAATTAAATTCGTAACAATCAAAATTCATACTATGAGTAGCGGTACCAAATTGTTGTGCTTAAAAGAAATAGGTACCTGATTGCGATAACTACACTTTCTGTAAGAAGCTGGAATATGACACAAAAGTGAATAAATCACAAAAATAAAGAATAAGTTAAGACAAATCAATTAAAGCAAGAACTTTTTTTTTCAGCATACACAATACACAACTTAACTTTAAAGAAAGTATAGCTACTGCAAATGCAATTATCCAATAACACTCCTCTTTAATACAAAAATGAGTAATAAATACAAATCAAATCAACAAGAACAAGTTATGATTGTACTTATTTCTTTCATACAAAATCAACGCCTTTCTTCATCATTAAATATATCTTCTAGTAACTGTTTAGTGATGCTTCTGTGAGGTTTCGTAGGGTCCAGTTTAGGTCTTCCATATAGTCTGCTGTTGATTACGTAGAGCCTAAAAAAGATATCAACAGCTTAGTAAAGAACAAATTATTATTTTATTTTATAATCCTAATCCAGTCACGTTTAGAATAAAAGATGAAAAATTGGCTGGAAATTTGCATTTTTATGCGGAATCATGCATAGAATGGTTAGGTTTAAGGATGCATAAGATAAGGGGGATTTAATAAAAATATGATTGAGACAAAATATATTCAATAGTAATATAACTAGTGCAATGGAAATTATTGATAATTTTTGGGAAAATGCCCGAATTTCATAAATCAAAAACTTTATTTTTTTGTCAAAAAATGTCAAAACACCAGTTTTCGCACCAGTTAGTATGCAATTATCTGATAATTTGCACTAGTGCAAATTATCGCGTAATTACAATCTGATTGGTTCAAATCAACAATCAAAACATGTCAATTTATTGTTGGAATACCAGTTTTGACAGATGTATGAAATTCTCACTTTAATTTTTCATCAAAATTACTTCTGTAGTTATAAAGACAAATTTGCTTGAATCGATTAATTATTCTTGTTCAGGTGTCACGACTTCGATGTAAGTACCAGTACGTAAACATTCCCAATACTTTTAAAACTACTAAACGACGGCTTCGCCCTTTAGTTTCTTGTCCTGTGCCACATGGATCCATCTCTTTTTCTCTTATGTCGTGAACTCATCATTTCTGTCACCTCTTTTATGTCCTCAGGGTTTTTTCCACCTCCTTGCGATTGGGATGTCAGGTCCGGTATGCATTTTTGCTATTGAGGTTGTCACATTGTCCAGTGTAGGTGCTTGTTTGTGACGGGATCCCTGAGACTTTTCTTATTCCTCATACTTTCTATGGCTCTTTGTGTGTTCGCCTGAGACTATTAGCAGACTTGACTGTATTCGACACTCTCCGTCTCTCTAGCTTTTCCTAGGTCTTCCTAGTGTTTTTCTTCTGTTTGGTTTCCACTGTGGGTTTCGTTTCGATACTGTCGTTTCGTTGTACATGATCGTACCATATCAGTAGTTCTGTTCATGTTGTGTTTTAATGTCCTTCACTATTGTACGGTCACCCACTATCATTATTTATTTCTCGTATTCTCTGATTCGTGACTCTCTCCGGAAATCTATTTCGGAAGCACATACACTTTTTGGGATCTCGTCTTCAATTGGTCACACTTCTGAGCTTTATGTTATTATACTTTTCCCAATGGTGTTAATGATCTTTTAATTATTTTTGCATATGCTTCGATCCCAAAGCATTGCATCTAACATGAGTATTGGCGGTATTGCCTTTCTGGCGTTATACAGTGTGCTGTCAGACGTTGTTCTTCAACCTTGATATTTATATTCCTCGCAGTATTGAACTTTCTGTCGCGTATTTAAAACCAGGATGTCTTCAATAAATACACATATACTAAGCTTTCTTGAGATTGACTTCTAGTCCCCACTTTTTATATTCTTCGATAAGTTTTCTTGCCATGTTCAAGTCATTATAGTCCTAGGCCACTATTATTTGGTCATCGCATCGGTAAAACATGAAATGTAAATCGTATCTTCTATATGGGTAGGTATGCAAATTTTTTGCCATTTTTTTTCAAAATTTTGAGAACTTGCTCTAGATATATTTTGAAAAGCGTAGGAGAAATACTACACTTTTTATTGATTCTAGATGCGATGTTGTTGGTTGGTGATAGGTCAGTAAAACAGTTTAGAGAATCAAATTTTTTGTATTGCTCAACGTTTCGACCAATATAGTCATCCTTATTGACTTTAAATCCTTTTGTATTCTATCTTCACATTCGCCTTGCTATTGTTGTATACTTAGTTCTTGCCTTACAAGTAGGTACATAGTTGTGGGTTTATTTTTGTTTGCCCTTTCCCTAACGCTTTACAAAGTAGATATAGGGGTATTTTTTTTTATATTGGTCACACAAAAGACAAACTGTTGACTACCTAAGCCGTACCATGAGTGGAAGAAATTGTGACAATTAACCTTCCGTTTGAACACGTTGAGGTCAAATTTTTCAGCAAATTAAGTAGGAGGCAGGGAGTTCCGGAGGTGTGCAGTAGGCAAAAAAAAGCCCTACATTTAGAGATCCTCGGAGTAGTTAACTTTACCACAAACGAATGTGATGCCTGTGAGGGTCTTGTGGTTGTTAAATAACTTCACCTAGCTGGAAGGACACTGGCAAGAGAGGTGGAATTCTGTAACGGATAGAGATCGTTTCCCTATCGCTATGGCATTTGCTGTTTTCTTTTCTCTTTTCGAAACCAATAGAGAGGGGACGTCAAAAGACAGCGAAAATATCTCTATTCATTACAGAATCCTAGCCCTGTGCTGATCGTCAGAACATCTCCCATGGTAATAGCGAAAGAATAACGACAAGTCGGTCATCGAACTGGAACTCTATAACGGATAGAGATCGTTATTTCCCTCACTATGGCACTTGCTATCTTCTTCTCTCTTATTCGAATCAATAGAAAGGAGACGCCAATAGAGATAGAAATATTCATCGCTATTCGTTACAGAGGCCAAGCCCTGGCATCCGTGTTCGAGAAATTGCCATGACTCGGTGAGAGTTGGGTTATCGTCATTTTTATTGCTCTTCTTTGTACTGCATCTAATATATAATAGTGGAATTGGATACACATTGTTTGGCAAACAAAGAGATCTGCGTTTTCCTTAGAAAAAGAAGAAGATGACAATTTTTTTTCTATGGTCTTGAAAAGGGACCAAAAGAACCTTGATCCACTCGGACAGTCCAAAAGTCGATTACGCACTTGTTGGTTGTGTACACTCATTAGTCTAGTTGGTTATACGGTTTTAATTATTCCTGGCAGCCGCAAAGGACGTTCGAGTTTGTTCGCATTGGTTTCCATGCCAGGCACGATATGCGGTGTTCTATTTTGCAAATGCTCGGACACACTGCTTGTTACATCAGGGTTTTCCGGAATGTGGATTGAACAATTCCATGTCTAAGGAAATTATTTGGGTAACCTCTTGTGCAGCCTCGAAGGAATCTTTGGATTTAAAGCAAACATCGGACAATAGGAAGGTCGAGAAAAAGAGCCTTTCCAGTCTGCAGCTCCATAACGAGGTATTGGAGCAGGTACTGAGGGTATAACAAGCACTTCGAGCGGAAATAAATTTGTGGCCTGATTTGCCCAAAGGTGCAAACACATCGATCTTGTAAGAATCGGGATTAGTGGTAATGAACAAATCGAGTAAATTGGCCTCTTGAGAAACGGTATCAGGAATACGTGTGGGTTATTTTCCTATGCTTTTTTCAGGTCTATATGCAGTATTCTTATCTATGAGTAATTTTCTTTTCAATCACTTGTGTTATACAAAACTGATGGTTCACAGTCGATCTCTCCCCTTGCTTTTCTGCTTTCATATCTTTGCACTTGTTCTCAATCTATATTTCTTATTACTACTTTCTTATTACAACTTTGATTTTGTCTCTGTCTAACTCAATTTCTAGAACAGAATGCGTACGTATTCCACAAAATAATACATAATCAATTCTGCCGAAATATTACCTAATCCTGGGTCCAGAAGCTTTTCCATTCGTTAGCTATGTAATTGTTTTCAACCTCAGGAAAGTGTCAGCGATATCGGGAAGCCAATAGTTTTAATCACATCGATAGTATCTTCTTGAATTCTGCTTGTTCTTCTGGTAGTCGTTTTCTAGTGTTGATCCCATTCACGATCTGTTATTGGAGATATAAATATGTCCAGATGTTTCTTTTTTCAGTGTTCTTTCAACTTCTCAAGTCTCTGTGCTTCTTTGACCTCCTATGTATGAGTCTATTTTCTAACATATATATTCTAGTCCATTTATATATTTTTTCTACGAGCGTGCGGAAAAGTGTACTTTTCCGCACGCATTTTAGGTCATGAAAGTACCACTTTTCCGCACTAGTTCTTTTTCGCTTTTTTTCCGCACTGAGTGCGGAAAAGTAGAATACCTGAAATTTTTAGGTATACAAGTACTTACAGGTATACAGGTATACCACAGGTACAGGTACTAAAAAGTGAAAAAAATCTCTTAAATTGATAAATATGTAGGTAAAAATATAAACTTTCATCTCGTAACTCGTGCGGAAAGTCTCTTTTCCGCACTTGATTGCTTGCCGAACTCCGCTGCGTGTCGTTCGAAAAACTGCAATCGCGTGCGGAAAAGTGGTACTTTCCGCACTAGTTAGGAAATATACTATTTTTTACCCCACTTTATTATTCTAACTTTTGTTTGCTAGTTCTTCTAACCTTATTTTTTCTGATCTTTTTTAATACCTATTTGGAGAAGTACCTACCAGTCGTTGTAGTGATTGGTTGGTAATTTTTTGATTCATCTGATTCATGATTGATAAACAAGGACTTATTCTAAATGGGTATTAAAAATACTATATCTGCTTCTTATTCAGGCTTCTCTCACTGTAAACTCCTAGAAATGAGCTTCTCCAAGTTCCTTCCACCTTTTTCGATAGTTTGCATTTTTACAAGTTGATGCCTCCCACATAACAGTGAAAGAACATTCATATTCTCAGAATATTTCCTCAAAGTGCTTTTTGGAATGCTTTTTTAGGCATGTTTAATGAATATTCTAAGATTGTTTCGATTGAAACATTCATTTTTGAACGTTCTTTTTATGTACTAGGAATGTTGCTTCTAAGTACCTACCTGAAAGATTGTGCTAAGAACCTACTTTATATAACATTATTTGAATATTGTCATACGAACATTATTATAATGTACCTCTAAAAAATGTTCTTTCGGCTAATATCTATCAAGTATTAAGAATAAACCTACCAAGTTGTGCTGAGACGTTTATGTAGGTAGGTAACCATGATAATAATATTTTCATATTGTTCACCTAATTATCTAAAGTACCTACTCAAAAATCTTAATCGAACAATTAAACAATATTGCTCTATCTAGAATCTACTAAGAATATTATAGGTATATTCTTTTTCTTTTGCTTTGTAGAACTTCCAAGTGAGGGAGCCACGCGCTA